TCTGAGAACGTGGTCTAAGGAGCAGAATGCTCATCTAGCGTGTGCCAGGCCCTGGATTCAATCTCCAGTACCATGGGAGCGGGGGAAGAGGTTACAACCACCCACCCGAGGATCCAGTCATAGGGAAAGATGGAATGGAGTACTATGCAGGGATAAAAACACCAAGGAAGATCTTTGTGAATTGATATGAAGTTCATTTGTTCTGCTTTGTTAAATTATAACCCTACGTTACATTATGTAAAAATCATAATGTCAAAAACCCATACAGAATGCTTTTATTTCTAAGGGAAAAAGTATATAATAATAAAGGGATCAAGCTATATCAACTATGTCATCTAATCTTAGTACTACTAAACGGGAACAAGTAGATACTAGGTTCCTTGTAAGTTTTTTTCAAGAGAAGGAAAATTTACTGGTAAAGGGAATGGGGAACAGAATGGGAAACAGGAGACAGAAGAGACTCCTCCTGAGAGACGGAGGGGTCCCAAATGGGTGCCAACCAGCCCACTTCTCAAAGGAAGTTTTATAGATCCAAATCCTGAGGTAAGTACATCATGGGCCAGAACTGTGATCAAACAATAAGGTTGCTAGTTGCATAGGTAATATATTGATCCAATGGTCTCAAGGGCACACGAACGGCACCATTAACCTTGTTGATAATCTGCAGTCTTGGTCTTCTTTTCATTTTAGTAGTTTCAGGTTTGGTCTTGGTGGTCTTAGTCTTAGTGGGTGAGAGAGGATGGCCCACCACTAGTGAGAAACGGGAACTCGCAGAAGGGTGACACCAATACTCCAGAGCCTCCGTTCACCCCTCGGGGAGGGATGTAAACCTACCCATGGTGACTTGCGGCTCAGCCACAGTTTCCATCATTCTCAGCTTCTGCACTGACTCCCTTGAGGGCCCAGCCCCGTCTGACTGCCTACTACACGTCTGCCTAACTTAGCTGTCTGTACTACTTCCCCTCTGAAAGGGTGTCCCCAGCTGCAGGAGAGAAGCAGTGTAGTTTCCATCTAGTTGCTTCAAGCTGAGAAGGGTTGGTGTAGGGGAAACCACAGTTATGAGCTTTCTCCGGAGAGCCGATCTGATGGGCCTTGGCTAGAAGTCCCACTGCAGTTTAGAGTTACAAACTTCCTTTACTAGGTCTATCTAGTGGATCTCCGTACAAGGAGTCTGGCACGTTTGTCACTGGTTCCATCTGCATAAACATGTGGAGTTTGACAATCTCTAGACAAGAATAAATAAATTTTTCAAGAAATTAAAGCATGTATAATCAAAGCATGAGCACTAGAATGGAAAAGAAGGTTGGAGAAAGAGCCATGTCCAGAAACTGCTCTTGACTGTACCCAGTTGGCTCTTAGACCCTCTACTGATGAAGTTATCTATGAGTCTGATATTTCTTGTCATAGGTCTTTCCAGCTTTATCTGTAAGAAGATGGAAAGCTCAATGATTTTAAAGGACAATTTCAGCTAAGGCATTTAAAGACTCTTGCTGAGCTTTCATAGATTCTACGGTACATTTTCTTCACTGTATTATAGCAGCGGTCAGCTACTGGTCTACTAGTATAGCTGGAAACTGCCAGAAGGGCCAGTGAATGGAGCTCTTTTTTATATCTAGTTTTTATTTCTATAGCATTGTTTTCATAAATCGTTTAGTTATACTTTTCTGCTAGGTAGACCAAGCTTTAAGAACAAGTTAAAGTGAGACTTGTGTTAATCAAAATTAAGTTTCTTATAATCTGATATTATATGAAATACACAATTTCACCTATGGTATGTTCCAGCCTAAAATGTTTTATTTCAAACTATCAAGTCTTCAAATCTATCTTCTCAATCACTAGAATTTGGCAAAGGTAAGCATAAGCTAAAAGACACACAATGGCACAACCAAGTAAGTGTGCCCAGTTTGTACAAAGCAGTTCAAGCCTACTGTTGTATGCACCTGCAGTCCTTGTACTTGGGAGGCTGAGGCATGAAGATCGCTTGAATGCAAGAGTTTGAGAATAGGGGGCTGGGGATTTAGCTCAGTGGCATAAGCGCCTGCTTTGCAAGCAGGCAGTCGTGAGTTCGATCCCTGGTACCGATAAAAATGAAAAAGACCAAAAAAAAAGAGTTTGAGAATAGCCTAGACAACACAGTGAAATTCCACTATCTCCCTCCAAGAAAGTCTCCAAGAAACAAAAAAAAGAAAAAAGAAAAATAAAGATAGGTTGTAAGGGATAGTTATGTGACCATTAGCAAAGTCTGAATATGGCTTTATGTGATAGATGGTCACAATTTCTTTGCAGTTCCCATCAAAACATGGATCTAGGTGGTCAGGTGTTGGCAGGGAGGCTGTGTGAGCTCCAGGACTTAGTCTCAGGGGACCTTGCAACCTCTACCTTTGTTCCATTGACTCTTCAGGGGCTGTGCTCAGACTTTCAGGTATGAAGAAGCTGATCTATGGTACTGGAGGACGAGAGGCTATATGCAGAGAGAACTGAGATGGCCCGGCCAACAGCCTGCACCAATTACCATGTCTGAGAATAAAACTACCTTGGTCCTTTTAACCAGCTAACTCTGCTGCTTAACACCATGTGGATAAGCTCGGGCTACACCCCCCAGCAACCATGAGAAAATGAATTATTGCTTAAACTATTAAATTTATACAGCTACAATATTTTTTTGAGACAAGGTCTTGCTTTGCGGTTCAGGCTGACCTTGAACTCACTATGTAGCCCCGGATGGCCTCAAACTCACAGTGATCATCCAGCCTCCCAAGTGCTAGAATTACAGGAGTGTGCCACCATGCCCGGCTTTATTCAGCTATAAATTTTATAACTGGAGAATAAATGAAATGAAAATTTATTAGCTAGGAAGGCAGATGTCATTGATTGAAAAAAAACTAATTACAAATAATATGTATAAGACACTCATTTTGATAAACCACACAGGTATACAGACACAGAAAATATCTAGTAGGATACATAATATTAACATACATACATTCAGCTTATGACAATGTCATGTCCAAACAAACCCATTAAAGTTAAGAATAGCATAAGCTAAAAATGCAATTAATATTCCTAACATACTGGACATCCTAGCACAGGGTACACTAAGAGTCTCCGCTGTGATCATGGAAGTAACCAGGAGGTGTGGTTATTTCCACTACTTAGCATCAAGAAGATTAGACCATACTTCACAAGTCAGGGAAAGGATCAAAATTCTAAATCTGTTGTGTTATTACTCTTACACTTACTAAAGGTGAAAAACGCCAAGTCAAATCTTCTGTTATGGACTATTGATATAAGTAAACTCTATGTAATGAAAATACGCTTTTATTTTCTTTTCTGCATCTTTTATATACACATACAGTACTTTTGCAGTAATAGGACTTTTTAATATGTCATTCATTTTAAAAAAACAAGGTCTGTAAGCGCAACTGAATGTCTAGCCAAGAATTTAGAAAAAGGGCTCACTCTGCATTAGGAATACTGCAAACAACAACTGAAAGCAGAAAAATAATTCATAATCAAGTCCTGTTCTAAATTTCTGAAAAGGTTTCTTCTTGTAAGTTGAAACAACTACCATGCACATGTACAAAGAGAAATTGTGTCAAGTAAGTCTATGTGGGCAGAAGGGCAAGTTTCTACAGCACTGCCACTTGTTACCAAATGAATATGCTGTCTGGGCCACAGTGAATTCTTGAGCTGGTCCAGAACTTGGCTTTCCTGTTTTGTTCTGTATTTGTTATCTATGGACCACTGATAAAGCGTGCAAAAAGTTAGTTAGTAACAGCAGATATATGCAAGAGGGAAAGTGAAGGTCAAGTGACTATTCACTGGAACCAGGTGCTAACATTAATGGCAGTAAGACAGGAAAGATGTTCTCCTATATAGTGACATACAGATACAACAGGATTTCACAATGAGCCTGAAGTGCAACTCCACAGCTGAAAAAGAGGATGCAAAGGTAGGTATCATTAAATGAAAATGTAACTTCACAAATGAGATCATTTAATACAATTGCCAAATTTGTGTGAAAAATTGGTTTGTGCCACTACTAATAAAAGAATAGAGGTAGTAATATTTGGCCAATAAAAATCAGACTTTGCAATGAGTCAGATCCCAGTCCCAATCTGAATTTTCAAGGTGATGCAAGATTTGCAACTTCAGGACATGCAGCCTCCAGATGACAGGATCCCACAATACTCTGAGAGTCACTGACACTATGGTGAACTCAGCAGAAGGAGAGGCATAGGCACCCCAAAGCAGTTCATGCTTCCAGAGCAAGATGCAAAACTCTATCTTACTTGAATCTCACTACAGTTTTAGGAGAGAATTATAACACAAATATACAAATTAACTTAGCAAGGAACCATGAAATATTCAGTGACGGCAAAATATAAAACTAGAAGCACTGCCATTTACTTCTTAAAGAAACAGAAAATGGTGCAACTTTTCTACAAAGCTATCTGGCAACATATGTTGAGAACTTCCCCAAGATCACAAACGACAGTCCAACTGGGAAAGGAACAGATGCAGGGAGTGCCTATGTGGGAACAGGAGTGATCAGAGTTGACTGATCAGTAGCTACTCCCTTTGTACACAGGCTTTCCAACAGGAAGTGAAGAGCATCTCTAGGAATACAAGTCTTTTGTTCTTTTTATTTTTTATCATTATTGGTTTCCACAACTGTTCCCCTGTCAGCCCAAACCTGTACATTCCTGGGAATTCCTAAAGTAGAAATCATGGCCCACTGCACCATTTAGCTCCTTCCAATCTGGAATAATAACTGTTTCCTAGGATTAGCAATTGAGTATGGAATAGAAGCACATCAGCTTCTTTGTATTGGAGAGTCTCAAACCCAGACAATGTGTAATGTTCAAAGAAAGAGAAAAACAATAATCAAAACATTTTATTTCTTCAAAATCTGAAGTATGAGGCTCTTTGAGTGAGTTACAACTCAAGACCTAGGGAAAAGTGTTCTTATAAAAAGTATGACAACAACTGACACGTACCTAAGATGAGATGAAGTTTAGTTTCTGTCTGGAAGGCGTAGTGCAACGTCACCAAAAATGGCGACTGCCTAATGTGCTCCAGGACTTGTCGCTCTGTCCTCGTGTGCTCCGTGGTTTTGGCCTTTTGAACAATTGTTGCCTTTTTCAAAACTTTCATGGCATACAACTTTCCAGCATCATGACCACTTATTTTACGAACTAGAAACACTTTTCCATAAGCTGAAAATGAAAAGAAAAAAGTAAAAAGGATTAAAACACTGTCTAGGAAGAGTAGTAATTTATGGAAGTAAAAATTCAAGTAAAAATACTCATTAAAAGAAAACAGCCTTGAGACTGTTTCATGCAGTTCTTTGATAAGAGTACAACTTTATGCCACATATATGTCTAAGTCTAGCACTCACTTTTTACATATCTAGCTATGTTATGCTTTTACTCTTTCAGTGTTATTCTCTCCTCAATATTTTTAGCTGTAGAAAACTAGCTGTTATTATGGTCAGCTAACCATGATCTAATTCTGGAACAGCTAGGACATTTTTGACATCAGGTAAAACCTCTTTCTCTCTCTCTCTCCCTCTCTCTCTCCCCCTCTCCCTCCCCCTCTTCCTGTCTTTCTTTCTCTTCATGTATATAGACATATATCTATTATTGGTGCAAAAAATGAAGACAGTTCTTAATAAGAATCTCATATACACATATAAATCAAGTATTCCTCTATACTTACCAAATACCAAAAAAAGCCTAAAGCCACATGAGCTAACATTATATAAAGAAAATCTTTGGCCTAATAAACATTAAAAGATCCTAAATTGCAAGCAACATACAGAAGCTCCTTTATGTCTCTGGGCAGCAATTCATGGCTCACTGAATCAAGCTCAGCACACTTTTCCTAAGTGAGAGCTCTGCTGGGCACATTCCTGTATGTGGTGCCAATCCCCCAGGTGGAAAGATTAGAGCCTTGTGGGCACCATGCCTCACTGGGCAGAGCAGGTTTCTGCATTTATTTTCCTAAGGGAAAGGGGTAGGGCAGGAAGATATGGAAGGAAAAGGGAGGAGGAAGGGCAGGCTAACAATAATAAACACTGTAAGAGGGAAGACACAGGCCCCTAATTTATTACTACTAGGTATAAATTCTCCAGTTGATCTTTTGAAAACTACAAGTGCCTCTTAGAATGGGTAAGCAAATTTCCACTTTAGGAATGAGTTGCTTTTTAAGGTCAGTGGTAGGTAGGAATTTCCACTTTAGGAATGAGTTGCTTTTTAAGGTCAGCTCAGTGGTAGAATACTCGCCTGGCATGCATGAGGTCCTGAGTTCAATTCCAGCACCAAAAACATTTTTTAATGTTTTAATCAGACCAGTCTTGAGTGTTGTGAGTTCTGAGCCAGTCACTCCAGCCCCAGCCTGTATTCATACCTTTACAGTATTCAGCACATAATTCTATTATAATCCACCCATCAGAATAAGAGCTTTACCAAAAGGGCTCTTACAGTCTGTGTATTATTCTGTTCAGTACTCTGGGAACTGAGTAAGTACCAATGCATGGTATGCCACATATCAGTGCTGGACTTTCCCAAAGAGGAGAGCCAAAACTTGTTAAGGATTTGCCCATGCCAGGCTCTTTCCACATACTGATTCACTTGTTCTTACCACAATCAGCAAAGCTGGCACTTTAAGCAATTCTAATTCATAGAGGAGGGAATGGGTTCAGAATAGAGAAGGAACAGGCCACAGGATTTTGGGTAAGGGGCAGAACTGATTTGTAAACAGAAGTATAACTCCAGGGACCATGCTCTGAACCATACTAAAATTAGTATAATAAAATGGCTACAGTAAATGCACATGACTACATTCTGGGACACAGAAAAAGTTCACAAATGTGTATGTCTTATCTCATTGTAAATAGTGTAATAATTGTAGTGAGACTTCAGAAAGGCAGAAGTGAACAAAAAAGGAAATGGCAATTTTCAAAACCTAATAAATCAACTTAAAATATAAAAACAAAAACAGTGTATCTATATACAACAAGGAAAGGAAGCTAGACACACTTCCAATAAAGTGTATGCGTCTTCCACCAGAGAAAGCCACTACAGAAACAGGGGAAGGGAAGTCCTATTCAGCCAGCCTTGAGCATTCGTGTTCCTCACATATGCGAGGGACCAAAAGCTAAACTTTTCTTCTGCCAGGTTCCAATTCCCAGGATATGATGGTATGTAGAAGTAATCTGTCCATCTTTCAAATGCAGAAATTCTTGCTATACCCTAAACACACTGTTCAGCTTCTTCCTGGCATTGCACAGGTGCTGGCCATGTGACAGATCTCTGAGTGTTAGCATCTATCAGTACAACAGTCATCAGGCACCTCAGAAATATATTATCTCATTCAGTTCTTAGAACATCCTTATGAGGAGTGGGCAAATCGTCTCCACTATGCAAATGAAAATACCGAAGTGCAGAAACATTAGTTTGCTACCCAAGATCCTATTTGTCCTTCAGTTGAATCCTGAGCACATACTCTGAGGAGTGCTCCTGCTGCCCCCTTTAAGTGAATGACGTATCAGTAAAGACAGAGGAGATGGACACGAAGAGAAGTCACACTACAAATGAGGTGATTAACAGCGGAATGGACCAACTGCCACTACTTCTGAAACAAAGGTTTTGCAAAATAACCCACTTGATTTGTGAGGGACTGTAAATGAGAGAAAATGTGCCTTACACTGAGTGAAAGCAGGCCTATTTGAAATCTTTATCTGTTGGTGCTTTTATACTCTCAAGACTTAATGCTGCTCTTCTATAAGATCATTTTTTTAATATTTAAAAACAAACACATGCTTTTTAGTTCTTACTCCTTAAGCCAATCTTAAAATAATATGATTCAGAGATCTCTCACCACTAGAAGGCCTGCTGACATATTCTGTGTGCCAGTAAAATTTTTCTTTAACTTCTTCCCAGTTTCTTTGGAAAATGTTCTATTTGACTCCAAATAATCATGAGGCAGCACTAGATATTAATGTGCATCAGTCCAATAATACAAAAGCAGCCTCACTGCCATGTAACACTCCACAAGGTCAAATAATAGGCAGTCATCCTCCCTGCCACAAGCCAATGTCCAGAAATTTGTCAGTAATGCAAACTAATAATCACGTATTCTGCCAATGCAATTATGTTCATCTACCTGAAAATGTCAGCGGAAAAGTGAAGAATTCACAACTCCTCGGTTTTTGCTTTTATATTTGTCATCACTAACGCTAAAGCGATAGTACTTCTATCACATTTTAACTGTGAGTCAATGTGTATGTCAATAAAATTCAAGCAGTACCTTGCGACATTCCAAACAACAAATATTTCTGACAAGGATCTTACTTCAGAGTACGCTGTACAACTAGACACAATTGCCTGCAAACAGCCTTGTTTTTGAAGCTCTCACAAGGCTGCTTATCAGACTGCCCAGGCAGAGGGAAAACACATTCATTATTGGCAGGACCTTGCAGAAGAGATCTCACCTATCCAGCTCGAAGCATATTGAGAAAGTGAAGTAGTAGTTCTGCTGAAGAGAGTCATCCACTCCGAGCTGCCTACCTGATTTTTACTATTTTAAGAAAGGGCACTGAAACTGGAATTGATGGTGATACTATTTTCTTTCAGTTTGCACCCAGATGACTGCTTCTAAGTGTAACCAACCCCTTTTACTCATTACGTATGTGATGCTGTTAAAGTAATTCTATTTTGAAAGCATCTTTTGGAAATTGCAAAAGCTACTGATGGTGAAGATTCTTTCAGTTAAAAAAAAAAAAAGATAAACCACAGTATGTCCTCTTGAATGGAGCTCCTAAGACAGATGCTTGCAGCACATCTGGAATTGCTGCTTCAGTAAAGAGGTCAACTTCATCATTTAGCATGACTCCTGTTTCTGCATCAACATGCCATGGCATCAAATGCTCTATCAGTGACCTTCACAGAAGTCTTGTCTTGTTCTGAATCTTATCAGTTTCATCAGAGCCAAAGCCTTTTCAAGTTACTCTGGCCAGAGTAAAAGAGGACATGAATGAAGTTCACTAGTTTCCTTAGGATTAGTCTCGCGGAGCTTGACTGACCTTGAGGTAGAAGTATTACTTGTTTTGAGATTGAAGGAAAGTACATTTGAAGAGCAAATGATAGGAAAGATTACTTTCTGACTTTAGCAGACATCTGTGGCCAAATAAGTAAGGTGTACCTTTCACTTGAGGGCCCTACTGATAAGACGTCATGTTGTACACTGCCAAAAACCTGTGTCCTCTTTTAGCCACAGGTTTCTTTATTTCAGAAGAGATAATTAGTCAAGAAAACTGTAGATTTTCTCCAACACTGCTGATATCTTATGGTTACTCCTGTTCAAACTGAAGTGTGGCTTTATAATTCTATCCAACCTGATGTAGACAGCACATTGTTGACAAACAATGTTAATAATGACTTCAATGGCTTGATGCTAGGAATCAAAGTGTGATTAAAAAAAATCTGGTTCCTTAGGATAGGTCCCTTCTCACCTTCTCAGCTTGCTTTTCCAAATATGGGACTTGGGGCTGGGGATTTAGCTCAGCGGCATAAGCACCTGCCTTGCAAGCAGGCAGTTGTGAGTTCGATCTCCGGTACCGATAAAAAAAAAAAGAAAACAAATGTGGGACTCTCACACTATTGCTGTTATCTAGTTTTTAGCATTTGTTGCCATAAAAAAGGAAAAATATAATTTGCTGTTTTTAACAAGATATTCATGCTGTCTCATCATCAAAAAACACTGTACAATTTCAACTTCTTTTTCATGCCAAGCAAAAATCATCTTGCTGCTATCATTTACTTGAGGCATAATTAAGCTTATTTTTTCATTTTATTTGAAAGACTTACATTTACTAAAATGTTCATGAGTTAGCCTTTAATTCTTTTATTAAAATGATGGCCAAATTGATTAACAATTTTTTCATGCATTACAATGAATGTAAAAGCAATGAATTTACAATGCAATATAATTGAATCCACATAAAACTTTGTAAGTACATACGTTTGCCTGCATTATTCTGGAGAAAGGAGTCATAAATTACAAAAATTAAGAAGCACTGTTTGGAAGGCCTCTGGTTTACGTATTCCCTTGTGGTGCTCAACTTAGATACAGTGCTCTCACTGGGATCTAAATGGCACAATCACCTTGTGACTACTTTTTTCTGTCACTTAAACTCTTATTAATGCTACTTAAA